TGTTTGAAGATATTACTGTTGAAGAGAGCTCTGTGATACTGACCACCACAACACATTCAACACACTGTAGACTCCTTAACCTCTTGCTGTACCATACTCACCTGCTTTTTGCAGAGAAATGTTACACTTCACAGATTGGTTCTTTAAAGAATGCTCATGAGCATATGCTGAACCTCAGTCTGTTGGATTAATTCCAGTAATGGGAGAAGTTTTCTTCTGAATGATTAACTGGTTAAAAGGTAGGAAATAAAGGGTAGAAAGAAATAGCTCATTTTCACAAAGCAGCAGAATTCACCATGTATATTGATAAGATCAGTGCTGGCATCTACATTGTTCAAAATATTCATAATCTAGATGAGTAGTGAGGTGACAAAGCTTTATAGTGGCCATTTTTTTTCAAGGCAGTGAAAGCCCGCACAGTGAGTATGGTTATCTACCAGTACTGAATCACTGGCTGATTAAATGGCAGATGAAACCCAGTATTAGTTGTAATGCAGTGCAGAAGGAAAGAAAAGCAAGTCTAAACACATAAACATGTAATTAGGCTTTGAATTTTCTCGATTACTTTAGGAATATGTCAGCTGAAGTCTCAGCAATCGCCAAAAGGCAAACAGAATTTTAGGCTTATCATGAAAAAAGAAGAAACAGAAAATACCATTATGTGGGCACCATATGCATTTTGAGTACATCTTGAGCACTGTGTGGAATTCTGGTCTCCCCGTTTCGGAAAAGCTGCAAAGTAATGAGGATACAAAAAAGGACAAGGATGATCAGAGGCCTGGCACAGCTTCCTTTGAAGAGCCAGTACATAGGACAGAAGTCTTGAGTGACTGAGGGATATAAAATTCTGTGTGACCCAGAAAAGGGGGATAAGAAGTGATAATCTGTTCATGTGATATGTCATAATTCTTAACAGGCAAAAGTTGTAAAGTCAAGCAAAGGAAGTACCTATTCACTTAATAAGGATATGGCATTCATGGCTGCAGGATAAAACAAGAATACATCAGAGTTCACAAAGGGATTAAACAAAGTCAACACCTGTCTTTGACAGAAAGATCTATCAAACACGATGCCTTGAATATGATTAAATACAATTTAATTACAAGATGTGGCACTGTTTTCCACTGCCTCCCAAAGTTTCTGTTGCAGACCTTTGTCAAAGTTGCAGTGCTAGACACCACTTCTGGCAGTCCATAGTTGTTGTTTACATTTATTAATAAAAATTATTTCTTTTCAAACCATGATGTTGGGACAGTGTATTTGAAGACTGGGGAAACTCATTTGGTGAAGCTCTCTATGGGAATTCCAAACTGACAGATTTAAAATGTGAAGATACCTAATAAAGCATAGAGTGCTTCTGTGGTTCTCAGTCTTTCTTTTGGAGAAATCCCACTCATGGAAGCAAAGGACCAGATTCACTGAACTGCCCATGCAGTGCTGAAACTGCCTTGCTAACTTCTGCCATTCATGCATCTTAAGACTCGTACAGCAGTCCAGTTGGATCCATGTAGTTTGCAATTTAACCACAAAATACACAATGTAACAACTCAAAACCTCAGCGTTTAAAATATTAAACATCACATTTTAAAAGAACACTGAAAATAGTTGCCAGTCAGGAATTTATTTTTGTAGTATTCTTTATTGTACTGAAAACTTGTAATTTTTTTCTGTTAAAAAATTTTAAAAGGAGGAGAGAGGAATAGATGTTTATTTTCAGATTTCTAGCTATGATGCACACGTTTTGATGTTTTGATAATTATAGAAAATAGCATGTGGAGACATTAGTTTATTGAGATGCTCCTGATAAGCTGGTTCATCTTCATAATATTTCGGCAAAAACACTGTCACATATTTGTCATTTTGCCAATGTTTACCCCGTATGGGTTTTACTTCCTTCACATAAATTACCTTAGTCTATGTCCTGGTTTCATCTGGGATAGAGTTAATTTTTTTCTCTAGTAGCTGGCTTAGTGCTGTGTTTTGGATTAGTACAAGAAGAATGTTGATAACACGCTGATGGTTTAGTTGTTGCTAAGTAGGGCTTACACCAGCCAAGGACTTTCAGCTTCTCATGCCCTGCCAGTGAGAAGGTGGGAGGGGACACAGCCAGGAAAGCTGACCCCAACTGGCCAAAGGGTTATTCCATACCGTATGACATCATGCTCAGACTGCACTGGAACAGGGTGAGGCTCTGGAACACCTGCAGTACATTGATGACATCATCGTATGGGGCAACACAGCAGAAGAAGTTTTTGAGAAAGGGAAGAGAATAGTCCAAATCCTTCTAAATGCTAGTTTTGCCATAAACCAAAGTAAGGTCAAGGGGCCTGTGCAGGAGATCCAGTTTTAGGAATAAAATGGTAACATGGATATCATCAGATCCCAATGGATGTGACCAACAAAATAATGGCCATGTCTCCACCAACTAGCAAAAAGGAAACATAAGCTTTCTTGGGTGCTGTGTGGTTCTGGAGAATGCATATTCCAAATTACAGTCTGATTGTAAGCCCTCTCTATCACATGACCCAGAAGAAGAATGATTTCAAATGAGGCCCTGAGCAACAACACGCCTTTGAACAAATTAAACAGGAGATAGTGCATGCAGTAGCCCTTGGGCCAGTCCAGGCAGGGCAAGTTGTAAAATATGTGCTCTACACCGAAGCCAGGGAAAATGGCCCTACCTGGAGCCTCTGGCAGAAAGCACCAGGGGAGACTTGAGGTCGACCCCTAGGGTTTTGGAATTGGGGGATATAGAGGATCCAAGGCCCACTATACTCCAACTGAGAGATATTGGCAGCATAAAAATGGTTCAGGCTGTTTCGGAAGTGGTTGGTACTGAAGCACAGTTCCTCCTAGCACCCTGACTGCCAGTGCTGGGCTGGACATTCAAAGGAAGGGTCCCCTCTACACATCATGCAGCTGATGCCATGTGGAGTAAGTGGGTCACACTGATCACACAATGGGCTCCAATAGGAAACTCCAGTCGGCCAGGAATCTTGGAAATGATCATGGATTGGCCAGAAGGCAAAGATTTCAGAATATTGCCAGAGGATGAGGTGACGCATGCTGAAGAGGCCCCACTACCAGAAAATGAGAAGCAATATGCCCTGTTCACTGTTGGGTCCTGCTGTCTTGTGGGAAAGCACTGGAGGTGGAAGGCTGCTGTGTGGAGTCCTATACAACAAGTCACAGAAACTGCTGAAGGAGAAGGTGAATTGAGTCGGTTTGCAGAGGTGAAAGGCATCCGGCTGGCTTTAGATATTGCTGAACAAGAAGAATGGCCAGTACTTTATACTGACTCATGGATGGTGGCAAATGCCCTGTGGGGGTGGTGGCAGTAATGGAAGCAGAGCAACTGGCAGCGCAGAGACAAACCCATCTGGGCAGCCACATTGTGGCAAGATATTTCTGCCTGGGTAGAGAACCTAGCTGTGAAAGTATATCACGTAGATGCTCACGTACCCAGGAGCCGGGCCACTGAAGGACATCAAAACAACCAGCAATGGATCAGGCTACTAAGATTGAAGTGGCTCAGGTGGATCTGGACTGGCAACGTAGGGGTGAATTATTTCTGTCGTGGGCCCACGACACCTCAGGCCATCAAGGAAGAGATGCGACATATAGATGGGCTCATGATCGAGGGGTGGACTTGCCCATGGACACTATTGCACAGGTTATCCATGAATGGGAATCATGCGCTGGGATCAAGCAAGCCAAGTGGTTAAAATCTCTCTGGTATGGAGGATGATGGCTGAAATATAAATATGAGGAGGCCTGGCAGATCGATTTTATCACACTCCCACAAACCCACTAAGGCAAGCGCCACGTGCTAACCATGGTGGAAGCAACCACTGGATGGCTGGAAACATCCCGTGCCCCATGCCATCGCCTGGAACACTGTCCTGGGCCCTGAAAAGCAAGTCCTATGGCGACATGGCACCCCAGAAAGAATTGAGTCAGACAACAAGACTCATTTCCAGAACAACCTCGTAGACACATGGGCCATAGAGCATGGCATTGAGTGGGTATAACACATCCCCTATCATGCATGCATCAGCCTCTCGGAAAATGGAACAATACAATGGGCTGTTAAAGACTACACTGAGAGCAATGGGTGGTGGGACATTCAAACATTGGGATACACATTTAGCAAAAGCCACCTGGTTAGTCAACACAAGGGGCTCAGCCAACTGAACTGGCCCTGCCCAATCAAACCTCTTATGTACTGTAGAGGGGAATAAAGTCCCTTAGTGCACATAAAAATATGCTGGGGAAGACAGTCTGGGTTATTCCTGCCTCGGGCAAAGTCAAACCCATTCGTGGGATTGCTTTTGCTCAAGGACCTTGGATGCACCTGGTGAATGATGTGAAAGGATGGGGAAGTCTGATGTGTACCTCAAGAGGATTTGATTTTGGGTGAGAATAGCCAATGAACTGAATGGTATGATGTTAATTGCTATATACTATGTATATCATCACTTTTATGATGGCTATATGCCTTATCAATGGTATTACAGTAAGAATCACCTAGATTAATGAAGAATGAACTTTGATGAAGCTGAGCACAGTGCAGCAGTGATGGAACCAGAACTAGCTTCAGCATGCAACAACCCAACACCACACACCATCTGTCCTGCCCTGAAAGACTGTTATAACAGATGGAGCCCAAAGTCATAACCTAAATGAACTCAATGAACATTTTGGAGGACGTCCCATAGACGAAGGGAATGATATCTGTGTGTATATTTCAAAAGACAGGAAAAGTGGTGGCGATTAATTGGGATGTAGACATAGATGGTATAGAATAAAGGGTGGATATTTTCCTGGTTTTGGCTGGGATAGAGTTAGTTTTCTTCCTAGTAGCTGGCATAGTGCTGTGTTTTGGATTTAGGATGAGAAGAATGTTGATAACACACTGATGGTTTAGTTGTTGCTAAGTAGGGCTTACCCTAGCCAAGGAAGTTCAGCTTCTCATGCCCTGCCAGCGAGAATCTGGGAGGTAGCACAGCCAGGACAGCTGACCCCAACTGGCCAAAGGGATATTCCATACCATATGATGTCATGCTTAGTATATAAGCTGGGGAGAGTTGGCTGGGGGGCAGTGACAACTGCTCAGGAACTGGCTAGGCAGGGTGGTGAGAAATTGCATTGTGCATCACTTATTTTGTATATTCTTTTACCATTATTATTATTTTCCCTTTCTGTCCTATTAAACTGTCTTTATCTCACCCCATGAATTTTACTCCCTCCACCCCGGATTCTCTCCCCCATCCCACTGGGGAGGCAAATGGCTGTGTGGTGTTTAGCTGCCTGCTAGGTTATACCACAACAGTCTAAATATATAGCTACTGGGTTTTCATTTAGCTCTAATCTTGTTCCTACATGCAAGCAGTATTTGTGATATACTGTTATAATATGATGTATTTGTTACTTATTTATTGCAGGACTTAAATTATTACTGGAAGTGACGGGTATTATGCCAGGTACAAGGGAGGAGTGTCTCATTGCACTGAAGAATGGACACTTGGTGTCCATCTCACCAGGTGGAGTTAGAGAAGCACTATTCAGTGACGAAAGTTATCAACTCATGTGGGGAAATCGAAAAGGCTTTGCTCAGGTTGCTCTAGATGCAAAAGTGGTGAGTATTATATGTTACCAACCCCAGTTAATGCTTACTGCATACATGCTTTGTTATAAAACGCAGCTTAGGAGGGTTTGGTGGAAAATCTTCCAGACAAACTAAAAGGTTAGGGAGTAAAGATTTCTCATCCTTTTCCCACCACTTTCCTCAAGCACATTAATCTGTAGGGAGCGAGCGTTTTATGAAACTGTATAGCTTTTTCTTGACTGTTGCAAGGCATCCGTCTTAACAGTTCCATCGTGTAGGCATCTGATTTCTTTGTCTTGACTGTATTTCAGAAATCTTCATTGTGGTCCTTCTCCATATTGCCATAAGGTTTCACTCTTTTTTCTCATCCTGCTAGACTTATATCTTTATCTTACTTCTACATACCCAGTCATTTTCTTACGGCTCTTTAATGTATTATCCTTATCTTTCTTTCTTCTCATGTATTCTGGGAGGGTCTGGGATTTTGTTCTTACCCTTACTTTTCTTCATGTTTGTGAAAGATTGCATTAACTAACACAAGGTGCGCCTACATCAGTGTCTTGAGTTTGAATCATGTGTGCACTTTTGAAGCAGTTTTTCCATCTGCCTCACTTACTGTGCTTTCATTCACATCATGGAATGTGTTAGAATACCTGAGCTGCATTCCTTTTGGCTGAAACTAAATGAGAAGTGGGACCTAATACTCTCCCATTGCAAATGGGCATTCAGTCAATGCTACCAGACAAGAATTAGTTCTCCATAAAAACAGACCACTGAAATGTGTTGTGTTGATGTCAGGTCTTCAGCATCCCCTAGAGATGCGTTTCTGTTGGTCTGCACTCCACTAATGTACACATGGCCACAGTTTCAGTTATATTTTCCATATGGATGATGATCTAGAAATACAAACTTCTACCACTGGCTCTGATTTCTTCCATATAATTTCACACGTGAGACTGTTCCTCTGATACAGTCTCTGAGAAAAAAAAATTATTTGGGATGGCATAGAGCTGAAAGAGCAGCAGCCCTGTCTTTTTCCTGCCACTTATCATCATCATCACCACTAGAGACAAGTTTTCTGTCTTAATTAGCATACCTAGCGCTCTTGTGTCTGACAATACTGGTACACATCCAGGCTTCACCTGTTCTGCCATGAGCTTTCTGCTGCTTTCTCATGAATTGCACAACCGTCATTTTTCTTTACTTTCTTATGAATATCTCACCAACTGCAATGCTCTTCTTTGGCCTTCCACATAAATGTAATCCTTTTCTGTTTATATAGGAGAATCTGTACAGAGACTTGAGTTCTTCCATGGAACTTTAATTTCTTACCACCCCTTTCAGATTTTTTTGTGCAGTTATATCTCTTTCTTACCCCATTGTTGTGGTTTAACCCATCAGGCAGCTGAATAGCTCGCTCCCTCCCCTGCTCCCTTAGTGGGATGGGGGAGAGAATCGGAAAAAAAAAAGTAAAACCTGTGGGTTGAGATAAAGACAGCAGAGGAAAAGAATAACAACAACAACAATAATAACAGTAATAGAATATACAGAATATACAAAACAAGTGATGCACAGTGCAGTTGCTCACCACCCACTGACCGATGCCCAGCCTGTCCCCATCAGTGATTGCTCTCCCTCTGGCCAACTCACCCCGAGCATGACGTCCTATGGTCTGGCATAGCCCTTTAGCCAGTTGGGGTCAGCTGTCCTGGCTGTGCCCCCTCCCAGCTTCTTGTGCCCCTGGCAGAGCAGGAGAAGCTGAAAAGTCCTTGACTGGTGTAAGCACTACTTAGCAACAACTAAACCATCAGGGTGTTATCAACATTCTTCTAGTACTAAAACCAAAACACAGCACTATGCCAGCTATTAAGAAGAAAATTATGGCTAGGCAGGGTGGTGAGAAATTGCATTGTGCATCACTTATTTTGTATATTCTTTTACCATTATTATTATTTTCCCTTTCTGTCCTATTAAACTGTCTTTATCTCACCCCATGAATTTTACTCCCCCCACCCCAGATTCTCTCCCCCATCCCACTGGGGAGGCAAATGGCTGTGTGGTGTTTAGCTGCCTGCTAGGTTATACCACAACAGTCTAAATATATAGCTACTGGGTTTTCATTTAGCTCTAATCTTGTTCCTACATGCAAGCAGTATTTGTGATATACTGTTATAATATGATGTATTTGTTACTTATTTATTGCAGGACTTAAATTATTACTGGAAGTGACGGGTATTATGCCAGGTACAAGGGAGGAGTGTCTCATTGCACTGAAGAATGGACACTTGGTGTCCATCTCACCAGGTGGAGTTAGAGAAGCACTATTCAGTGACGAAAGTTATCAACTCATGTGGGGAAATCGAAAAGGCTTTGCTCAGGTTGCTCTAGATGCAAAAGTGGTGAGTATTATATGTTACCAACCCCAGTTAATGCTTACTGCATACATGCTTTGTTATAAAACGCAGCTTAGGAGGGTTTGGTGGAAAATCTTCCAGACAAACTAAAAGGTTAGGGAGTAAAGATTTCTCATCCTTTTCCCACCACTTTCCTCAAGCACATTAATCTGTAGGGAGCGAGCGTTTTATGAAACTGTATAGCTTTTTCTTGACTGTTGCAAGGCATCCGTCTTAACAGTTCCATCGTGTAGGCATCTGATTTCTTTGTCTTGACTGTATTTCAGAAATCTTCATTGTGGTCCTTCTCCATATTGCCATAAGGTTTCACTCTTTTTTCTCATCCTGCTAGACTTATATCTTTATCTTACTTCTACATACCCAGTCATTTTCTTACGGCTCTTTAATCTATTATCCTTATCTTTCTTTCTTCTCATGTATTCTGGGAGGGTCTGGGATTTTGTTCTTACCCTTACTTTTCTTCATGTTTGTGAAAGATTGCATTAACTAACACAAGGTGCGCCTACATCAGTGTCTTGAGTTTGAATCATGTGTGCACTTTTGAAGCAGTTTTTCCATCTGCCTCACTTACTGTGCTTTCATTCACATCATGGAATGTGTTAGAATACCTGAGCTGCATTCCTTTTGGCTGAAACTAAATGAGAAGTGGGACCTAATACTCTCCCATTGCAAATGGGCATTCAGTCAATGCTACCAGACAAGAATTAGTTCTCCATAAAAACAGACCACTGAAATGTGTTGTGTTGATGTCAGGTCTTCAGCATCCCCTAGAGATGCGTTTCTGTTGGTCTGCACTCCACTAATGTACACATGGCCACAGTTTCAGTTATATTTTCCATATGGATGATGATCTAGAAATACAAACTTCTACCACTGGCTCTGATTTCTTCCATATAATTTCACACGTGAGACTGTTCCTCTGATACAGTCTCTGAGAAAAAAAAATTATTTGGGATGGCATAGAGCTGAAAGAGCAGCAGCCCTGTCTTTTTCCTGCCACTTATCATCATCATCACCACTAGAGACAAGTTTTCTGTCTTAATTAGCATACCTAGCGCTCTTGTGTCTGACAATACTGGTACACATCCAGGCTTCACCTGTTCTGCCATGAGCTTTCTGCTGCTTTCTCATGAATTGCACAACCGTCATTTTTCTTTACTTTCTTATGAATATCTCACCAACTGCAATGCTCTTCTTTGGCCTTCCACATAAATGTAATCCTTTTCTGTTTATATAGGAGAATCTGTACAGAGACTTGAGTTCTTCCATGGAACTTTAATTTCTTACCACCCCTTTCAGATTTTTTTGTGCAGTTATATCTCTTTCTTACCCCATTGTTGTGGTTTAACCCATCAGGCAGCTGAATAGCTCGCTCCCTCCCCTGCTCCCTTAGTGGGATGGGGGAGAGAATCGGAAAAAAAAAAGTAAAACCTGTGGGTTGAGATAAAGACAGCAGAGGAAAAGAATAACAACAACAACAATAATAACAGTAATAGAATATACAGAATATACAAAACAAGTGATGCACAGTGCAGTTGCTCACCACCCACTGACCGATGCCCAGCCTGTCCCCATCAGTGATTGCTCTCCCTCTGGCCAACTCACCCCGAGCATGACGTCCTATGGTCTGGCATAGCCCTTTAGCCAGTTGGGGTCAGCTGTCCTGGCTGTGCCCCCTCCCAGCTTCTTGTGCCCCTGGCAGAGCAGGAGAAGCTGAAAAGTCCTTGACTGGTGTAAGCACTACTTAGCAACAACTAAACCATCAGGGTGTTATCAACATTCTTCTAGTACTAAAACCAAAACACAGCACTATGCCAGCTATTAAGAAGAAAATTAACTCTATCCCAGCCGAAACCAGGACACCCATCCAATTTGTTTAGTGTTTTCCGTGCTTCTGTTCACTCTCCCACTCTTTTTCTCAAAAAAGTGTGGACTGGTAAATACGAGTCACAATTCTTAATATATTGTGTGGGCCTATAAAGCACTGCTACTAAGAAAGTATCAGAATACAAATAGGGTAAACCCAGTCAAATTTATATGGGCATTTTGAATTCCCTTACAATCTTTCCTCTTTATTAATTTAATAATAGACTCCAACAGTCAGAAGGAGATGCCACTTTAACAACTGGAGTGTTTTCTAACAATTTTGTTTTCATATCTGTCTTTCCAGCTACCTCAAACATTTGAACATTCTTTTGCCAGATGTTTTCACTTCACTTGGAACCTTACAGTGTAATTCTACAATGTAATATGTATATTCTTTAAAACAAAAATTGAATTAAAAAAATATGAGCACCCTTCACATGGAGTGCCACCCTTACGAAAGCACATCACAAAAATCCTTGCTAGTAATCCACATAATCCTTCCAGTCTTCCGTAATTTAAAAGCATGTGGAAATAGCTGAATAGTAGTACCTAAAATTGCTGGCACCTTCCATTAACAGGTTGGTGGGGTTTTTTTAGTTTTTTTTTTTTTTTTGTTTAATGTATTGGGTGTTCATTGAGGGTAAGGTTTTTCAGCGTGAAAGGTTCTCGTGGTCATTTGTATAACATGTTTGGTAATACGGGCACTATCAGGCACTGTTACCTGGAGGCAGAGAGAATATTTTCTCCTTCGACACCTACTAGCCTGAGCTCACATTTATTGCAAGTGCTGCTGGCTCTTCTATCACTTATTATTGCACTCATTCAGGGTTGGGTTTTTTATGATCAGAAAGTCTGAATGAATCTCAGTATGGTGGGCATCACTGTAATTAGCTTGCAGGCTCCACTGAATTTTGGGCATTTTTCATATTTCTCTGGAAAGCTGTGATCAGACACACCTTAGATAACTAAACACTTAAAAAAAGAAGTGATATGCATTTAATAGTAGAGGGGTCAATATTAATCTTATATACCATTCCTTATATAAAGTTAGTAGTAACTGGATTCCATCTTTTGACAAGTTTGGAGTTTGATTGCTCCCGTTTGTTCTTGCTGCATCCTTTTCAATACCAGCCAGACCAGTCTTGTAGGTTGTCTGAAGACTGGGCATAGACTCACAGCAATTTATATATGTTTTGCTAATACTTATTTGGATCCCAGATGAAGGCAAGAGAGGACTAGAAGTGTCTTGCTTTGAATTTATTTTACGTATAGTGTAGCCATCAAACAAAGAACCACACACACTTTACAGTATTCATAAGTGACAACATGGTGGTTCATAACCTGCCATGGGTGACTTGAATGGGGATTTCAAGACAAAAATAACTTTATATATGAATAGATATTCCCATTCTTATTATAATGTTACGGAAGTTCAACAGTTCTTCCACTGAAAAAGTTGAAGAAAACCAAACAAGGAATGTAGTTTCAGCCTCAGTCATTGCCTGCATATTTCCACATTTGGTTTTGACTTCATCTTGTCTGACTGCTCTGCTTACTTGGGTGCAGAGAAGGAGAGCTTTACTATTTAATGTAATGTTCTGACTCACTGAACTTCTGAGACATACATTTGTCTCAGGTGGATTTACGTAGGCCAGGGGCCTGAGCTTCCAAAATACCCTCTACCTGTGGCTGGACTTTGAAGGCTAATGGGGAGGAGTCATCATTTCTGAAGATCCCTGCATTTTATCTGTGCCAAGAAAGTGGTTCAAATCTAATTAGGTAAAAGATAAAGAGGGACTATGGTTTATAAAATTCTTAAAAAAAAATAGAATAACCCTATGCACCAGTACACGCTGGGGGCTGACCAGTAGTCCAGAGGTTCCTTCCAACCGCCACTGTCCTGTGATTCCATGATTTTCAAGCTGGCCAGGTGTGATCCAGCTCAGTTCCAGCACAGCAAATCTAATCTGTGGGTTACTGCAGATCTGAGCGTGCTAGTCTAGTTAGGCCTTTTTTCTTGCTTTTTTTTTCTCGTCCTGTGGTTTCTGTTCTGTGGTTGTGATTCTTAACAGCATAAAGGTGTTCTTTCATTACCTTTTGGAAAAGTAATTCCAAGAACATGCTCAAAATACAATTTCAAAAAAACTGAAAAGGGACAATAGAGGGGCAAAAAGTCATTGTATGTATGGGTACAATCACTGTTAGTTTGTCTGCAAATTATGAAATCTTGCCTTGGGCTGTAAGACATGACTGTTTCAAGTTCAGGTATCTCAAGTGTCTTTTTTTTTAATTACAATAATGAAGTGTAATTGCCTAAGGATCTGCCCTCCAGAAGGTATGTAGTCCAGGTCAGTGAGGACATACAGCTGCCTTACTTGTCCAAGGGATCTGCAGAAGTTTTTTCTAGTGGGGTATTACCCAAACATTATTGCTTCAGTGAGACCTTAGTTTGAGAAGCTCATGAGATGAGCCAAACGTGAATGTCTACTTCCTTTCTGCAAGACTTCCTGAACCGAATACCTTCCTATTCACCACACATGATGTAAGCTTTAGACAGAGAAACTGCAAAACTTCATTTTATTTCAGTCAGCAATACTGCAATAAATATATAACATGCAAGGTTGGTTTTTTTTTAGAATCTCAGTTAACTTTTATAATGTATGTTCAAAATGAAAGGCATAAACCTCTAATACAATGTCATTTTCCTTTCAGATGTTGACTTTAAAACAGCAATGTTTGTGGGAGCTGAGAAACAATTTGATTTCTATTTTGTTGTTTTTTATAACAAGATTCCTTGTTTGCTACCTAACTGACTGATAATTATCCTCTGTATTCAAGTTCATTTCTTAGTTACATTAACAGGCATTAAAACATAAATTCAAACTTGATATAACATTTCTACCTTCTTGGGTTTTTTTGTGATTCCTTAGCCCATCATTCCAATGTATACTCAAAATGTCCGGGAAGGATATAGGATGCTTAAAGAAAGAAGTAAGAAATTCAAAATGGATTTTAAGTATTTGGAATGTTTTCTGCACTTCTCTCTCAAATGTCTCTCACTTTTCTCTTAGATTGTGCCTTTCAGACTTCTGCTTACTTTGGATTCTCTAACACACTTGCTGTGGGTCAGAGGTATCTCAAATATGGAAATCGCTTGTGTATAACTGGTTTGTGCTGTGTGATTTGATTCTTGAATGCAGTCTCATTTCAGTGATCTATTAAGTCTCTTGAGCTTTTTTTCGGTGGACAGTTACCTAAATCCTGTAACTTCTTCTTGACTGTCAGCCAAAGCATGCATTCTTAAGAAGTCTTCCGTATTAATCAGATTTCAAGTTTGGATTGTGTTTTCTGTGACTATAATCTCACCTTTTCCTCCCTTAAACTTTTTCAGAATTTTTTAGACAGTTGTATGAAAGTACTCGATTGCCGTTTACTCCTCCATACGGAGGATTGCCAGTTAAATTTCGCACATATATTGGGGAGCCAATCCCTTACGATCCGAATATAACTACAGAGGAATTAGTTGAAAAGGTAAGTTAGCTCTCCTTGCAATACTGAACTACATACTTTGTTCTCTATTATATATGCACTTGAAACGAGTTTTTTGTATGCTTAAATAAAGACAAATACACTTTTACTAGTTTGTTAAAGCAATGGGCAGTTGAACTCCAGGATTATTTAATGTATGGGTACCTACAAGAAAGTATTGACATAGTAATAGTTGATTGGGATGCCCTCATCCTTTTTGGAACATGTGAGCTCTGTCTTCTTGGGATGCTGACTTTGTTTCTCCCATGCCTTTGGTAACTTTGATAACTGAAATGATGTAAACTCTGCTGTGAGTTCAGTTTTCAGGAAAATATATTTCATATATAACAAGTACCTTTGAGAATCTTCTCTAAGTAACATACGGCTCTAGAAACAAAGTTCCACAAGAGCTTCAGCCTCAGTGTCAAAAGGAAAATGTTAAAAAAAAATAATTTGCATACAAAATATAAATATTTTGAGTACCTACAGCTTGGTGAAATCAGTGGTGCCCAGAAGCATATAAACGTTTATAGATCCAGGGTTTAGGAATTTTTCAAAGTACTAATCTATTCTGAAAACACGGTTTTAAAAATTTTTCATAGAAGATGAAAGGAAGGATTTATGCAAAAAAAAAATCTGATATGGTGTAGGAGTACACACATCAAAACACTTGTTAGGAATCACTGATGTAAAAAACACCTTGCTGCTCCCAAAAAGATGCAAGAAGGCTAGCTTTTCTTTTTTTTCTTCTTCTTCTGTTTTCTTTTTCCTTTTTTCTTTTTTTTTTTTCTTTTTTTTCTTCTTTTTTTTCAGGATCTACTGCAGATTGTTCTGGGCTTCACAGCAGTGAAACTAGAAGTCAGGTTTCGTCTGTTACAAGGGAACTGTCCCAGCAAGCTATAGATTTTGGTCTTAACAGGTTTAGGAGGCTGGAAGCAGTATTAGTGCTAAGACTGCTCTCATGGTTATCCATATTCTTGGATTTTGGGGGAACAGTATTTCAAAAGTAAAATTGAAATTTCCCACGACATTGATTTGCTTTATTAAGTCAAGCCTCTGACCACCCACTTCAGTGGGAGTACAGTTAGGTTGTCTGTGGCTCATACTAATTAAAAAAACCCAAATGGGGTTTGGGATGAGCAGTGGCCTGGCTGACCTCTGATCCTGCCCTGGAAAGGAGTCAGGACATGAATCTGTCAGGCAAGGTTTGGCCACTCTTTTCTTATATTCCCAGTCATATTCTACCATCACTCTGGGGTAGATCACCAGAGTATGTAGCTAGCCTTATTTCAAGTTTAAATACATGAGAAAAAACTAAGGGGTTTTTTTTCTTATTGCTAGTACAAATACAGAGTATTTTATGCATTCTCTTCACAAACTTGGATTGAAATCTCATGCAGAGTAAAAATGAACAGAATTTAGATATAAATTCTCTTATTATGTGCGTGCTGATTATGATACAAATTATGGAAGAATTCCTGTTGGGAAGGAAGAATTCAAGTATGGAAGAATTCCTGTTGGGAAGGACAAGACAGAGGTGTCTACTCTGAATTCCTGGTCCCAGCAAGGTCAGCTATGAGATCAGACGAGGTTATTCAGGCTTTATCCATTGCTCTTAATGAAAATCTTCAGGGGTGGAGATTGCAAAAACTTAATGTTTGCATGTGTTAAAGGCTACTTTGACTTAGTAATGACCAGGTTTGATAAATCTCAATAATTTGAGCCTATCCAAACTGCAATCAATGTTTTTATTCCTTTCCTTTCCAAGGAATGTGTCATTAGGACAACTATCTAATATAAAAGACAATTTTTTTCTTACAGTAGATCTTGTGTGTGAATTTCCCAATACCCCCTGAACCTCTGAGAAGACGTCAGTGATTATACTGTTCTTCCTTGCATAAGCAGGTCTGTAAAGGCAACTTTCTCTTCTCTTTTCAGACAAGGACTGCTGTCGAGGCTCTCATAAGCAAGCACCAAACAATCCCAGGCAGCATATGGAAGGCTTTACTGGAGCGATTTGACAAACGTCGTAAAAGTGATTAGAAAAGTGTTTATTTCATGGTTTTTACAGCATACAGTAAAAAGCAATGTCCTATGGCAATGATGACTAATAATTGGTGTTCAACCAATTTAATTTACAAGTTTCTACAGATGCCAACCGGAGAAGAATTAACCTCTTGAAGGTTCCCCTATGTCTTTGAGGATATTCTGAATTCAGAAAGACTGAAGAAGAAAACTTATGTATAACAGCAATGCAACCACTAAATTCCCCCGAAGGAAATCATGTAGCCAGGGTTTCCCTGGTTCCTAAAACAAGTATGTACATACATCTGAGAGCTGCAGAAGTTTTGT